AAAATTGATTTCTCGTGCGTATCTGGCATTCAAAATCGTCAGTAGCTTCAAGCGTTATTTTTGAGTACGGTTTTTTTTTCACAAAAATTGCTAATAAACATTTTTGTTTAAAATTACCTCATCTACATTTTTTATTTGAAATAGTTTGTTTACAACTTATAGATTCTTGATAAATTGATTTTTTCGTTTCCTACCCCTAAGATGGGGTGGTTTTAGAGGAAACTCGGGGGAAGGGAGTAGTAAATTTCAAGCTTGTTCAGCTTGTTCGTATCATTTTTAGAGGTTCCGTGGCTTTTTGTCTCTGGCGACTGGAGTATAAATAAATACATTTATTTATAATAAAATTAAATTATCTTTGGAGTTTGGTAATGCGTTGTTTATAAATATCTATTCGAGTTACACAACGTATTAAAAGAATTAAAAAAAAATAAAGAAAATTGCTTCATTGGAAGTCGAGAAAATACATTTGTTTACGTACCTATACTGATTTTGAACTTTGAAATTAAATTTTATTTAACCTAATTTTTTCGGTATTTTAATTCGCCTATTTCATGTCTTGTTATTTAAAAAAAACAGCACTTGAAATATTAAAAGCCGTTTAAAGTCTACTTTAATATAAAAGGATATTATTTCTGAATGTTCTTATAAAATGTTTGTAATATTTGAAAATTCCGTCATGGGATTTATAAATAAATAAACACTAATTGAATGTTATTCTTTGTATTTAGTGGAAAATCTGCTTAAATTACATACATACCTATTCGTGTAAAATAGTTTCAAAATTTCATTGGTTTGTATTCATCTAAAAACAACAAAGTGTAGTGTAATTTTAGGGTATTCAATAATGTCTGTTATTTCCAACATACTCGTACTTATTATTTGTAGTTGCCATTGTCAACAATACACCTCGTTCGTATTGGCGGTAGAATACACCTCCAATTAATAGAAAGGGTTTCATTATATAAAACAAGGAATCTGGTATATTAAAAATTGGTTTAGTAAAGTAAAAAGAACTACAAAGTTTGAACTAAAAATTATTATTAATTATATTATATATATATATATATATATATATAGAAAAGAAATTTAATCTTTGCAGATAAGTTAAATAGTAAACTCTTAAATATTGGGGAAATCTGCAAGAAAAACTCTAATGTGTATCAATTGTTTCGCCTAACGTTTTCGCCAAGAGAATTAATTTGGCTTCTTCAGGGCTGAAAGAGAATAAATTATAATTAGCTACCATATATTATCTAATAAAAAACATTTACCTTACCGTAAATTTTAGAAATGTCGAGTTATGATGTTAAAAAACTTTAGCTAGTAACAACATAGTGGTGTTTTTTTGTTACTATGTGCAAAAAAGTTATTTTTGTTAACGTTGGAAATGTATGGTAGCTTTGAACTTAAAACGCAAAGGTTTACCCAAGGTTAATCGAAAAACCCAATGTAACTACATTTAAAGGAAGTAATTCTTTGAATTGTCGGCAATAACTAAATTTTTGATTGTTATAAAGTTTGAATGTGAGGTTCTGTTTTCATAGAAAGCAAGCGCTGACAATTACAAGTAGTTTTTTGAATATTTATGTCGTTAAGGTTCATTGGTAAAACCGATGAAGTTAGATCCCAGTCTGGGGAGATATTAGTTTAGAATTTTCTTAATTGAAATTCTTTTTTAATTAGTATATTGTTCATGTATTATTATAATAATATCTTATTGAGATGTATCTAAGAAAAGCAAGGGAATGTTATCTTTTTTAGTTCATGAAAATTATTATTAAAGTAGGTTAGTTGTTAATAGATATATCAGTCAAGTTAGTTATCTGTGATGTTGTATTATTCTTGGTATCTGATTTAAGTAAGAAGTGGTATATATCGCTTAGATTCTTAATGTCTCTCTTAACATTGATGGAAAAATCGTTAAGGAAAATATAAGACATTTCAATGAACTCTCTTTTAGATTTATTGTTTTCACGGTGGAGAATTGTAGTGTTCGTATAGTCCATGTGATGACCAGTGGAATGGACATGTTTGGCTAGATACCAAGAACAATACAACATCACAGATAACTAACTTGACTGATATAACTATTAACAACTAACCTACTTTAATAATAATTTTCATTAACTAAAAAAGATAACATTCCCTTGCTTTTCTTAGATACATCTCAATAAGATATTATTATAATAACACATGAACATATATACTAATTAAAAAAAGAATTTCAATTAAGAAAATTCTAAACTAATATCTCCCCAGACTGGGATCTAACTTCATCGGTTTTACCAATGAACCTTAACGACATAAATATTCAAAAAAAAACTACTTGTAATTGTCAGCGCTTGCTTTCTATGAAAACAGAACCTCACATTCAAACTTTATAACAATCAAAAATTTAGTTATTGCGACAATTCAAAGAATTATATATATCCGGTTTTTTAGGCGTTACTCCCGTCCGGTAGGAATCTATGGAGGAGTATCACCGAGCCGCAAGCCCTTATCTCTTGCCGTACTGCTCCACCATAGGCCGATCAGAACCCAGCATATCCTAGTCTAAGCCGCAGATTCATCTAGAATTTTAAACTGCTGCGTTAGACTATTTGTTTTCTGTACACCGAGCTTGGACTCGACCCACATCCACTAAACCATTCGACAGTGAAGCGAATGAGAGGCAGCCGCACAGCCCGCTGAGCTATCTGACCGACAATTTTCAGTGTAGTGTGAAGTAATTCAAAGAATTACTTCCTTTAAATGTATTTACATTGGGTTTTTCGATTAACCTTGGGTAAACCTTTGCGTTTTAAGTTCAAAGCTACCATACATTTCCAACGTTAACAAAAATAACTTTTTTGTACATAGTAACAAAAAAACACCACTATGTTGTTACTAGCTAAAGTTTTTAACATCATAACTCGACATTTCTAAAATTTACGGTAAGGTAAATGTTTTTTATTAGATAATATATGGTAGCTAATTATAATTTATTCTCTTTCAGCCCTGAAGAAGCCAAATTAATTTTGGCGAAAACGTTAGGCGAAACAATTGATACACATTAGAGTTATATTGGGGAAATCTGCAATAAAAAAACTCAATGTGCATTAATTTGTACGGCTTAACGTTTTCGTGAATGTTTATTCACTTCTTCGGGGCTGAAATAATGAAATAAAGAAAATATTAATTAAGTAGCCATAATATATCATATGCAAAATATCAGTTGTGTTACTAATATGTTTAATTGTAGAGCTAAAAAGGATATGTAAAAATATATTAAAACATATCACTTTTTTTGTTGGAAGAAAATAACATCAACATAATACTTTACCCAGGAATATAATTGCTTGGTAACGACCTTATAAAGTATATCTTAAGTAACCAATTTCATAATGCATACGATTACATTTTTGTATTAGATCTTCACTTTTAATTTATTTTCACAACTAATGAATAGTTTGGATATCGAAAACTAATTCTGGCAGAGACAGAGACCAGAGACAGAGACCAGAGACAGAGACCAGAGACAGAGACAGAGACAGAGACAGAGACCAGAGACAGAGACCAGAGACAGAGACCAGAGACAGGGACCAGAGACAGAGACTAGAGACAGAGACCAGTGACAGAGACAGATACAGAGATCAGGGACAGAGACCAGAGACAGAGACCAAAGACGGAGACCCGAAACAGAGACCAGAGACAAAGACTAGAGACAGAGACCAGAGACAGAGGCAGAGACCAGAGACAGAGACCAGAGACAGAGACCAGAGACAGAGACTAGAGACAGAGACCAGAGACAGAGACCAGAGACAAAAACCATAGACAGGGGCAGGAACCAGAGACAGAGACCAAAGATGGAGACCCGAAACAGAGACCAGAGACAAAGACTAGAGACAGAGACCAGATACAGAGACCAGAGACAGAGACCAAAGACAGAGACCAGAGACAGAGACCAGATACAGAGACAGAGACCAAAGACAGAGACCAGAGACAGAGACCAGTGACAGAGACAGATACAGAGATCAGGGAGAGAGACCAGAGACAGAGACCAAAGACGGAGACCCGTAACAGAGACAAAGACTGGAGACAGAGACCAGAGACAGAGGCAGAGACCAGAGACAGAGACCAGAGACAGAGACCAGAGACAGAGACCAGAGACCAGAGACAGAGACCAGAGACCAGAGACCAGAGACGAGACAGAGAAGAGACAGAGACCAGATACAGAGATCAGAGATAGGACCTGAGTAGAGAAAGATATCTCTTAACAGATAAAATATTTATATTCAAGTATTTAAATATTTTTCAACTCAAAAATCGGTTTTTTTTTGCACTAAATTGTTAATAATTAAAAAGTAACGCGAAATGTATGCACAGAACGTGCAGGTTCAAACATCAAATGTCTGGATTTTGTGAAATCTCTAACATGAAAGCTTAAATTTTGCTTATTTCTCTGGACTATTGATAGATTGATGCAGTTGAAAAATTGCTAACCCAAATTTCCTAATGCAGTACATACAACCTAAAATAGAGATAGATGGAAAACAGCCTAAAAAGTACAATACGATACCTGGAAGAATAATAAAATTTACAAACACTCTGATAAGACACATCTGATAAGATGTAAAGATTTGAAGAAGCTTGTATCCGAAACTGTATTAAGAAGGTAATTCTGTTCTTTTATTAATTAATAATAGACACAAATCAAAGAAACTATGAAACATCAGCTTTAAAATCGATTTTTGGTTGTAGACACTCTACTACTCACTGGACTATTATACTTCTATGATTGCATACTAGACAAAATATAATTGTACCTACTTACAAATTTGATTAACACTTGTTTTAAATCCCATTTATACTTAATAAATCAAAGCTCTATAAATACACAGCTTTTTCTATTCTACCATAAAATCTTGTCCAACTATTGGAAATATTTAACGATGGCCAATATCCTCGAGAATAATGGCAAGAAAGTACCGATAATATGCATGCCTGTAACAATAAAAATTATGCGGGCTTTTATGGTATTTCCACCGAAAGGCAAAGAACTAGATCCCGGTATCAGATTCTTTTTAAAATTTTTGTTCATTTCTGTTATTTCCTGTTTGCCATTGCTGAGTAGTATTTTACATTTAGTAAAGACTATCCAAAGTAAGTATAACACACTCATTGTTGTATGTTCAGATCTTCCACAAACTGAACCTTAAATAATTTACAGCATGATTAAAGAAGGTAGGGGAGAGTGTTGTACCTTGGGTAAATTTTTAGTTTTTATTATTTCTAAATCTTAGAAATATATTTATTTGCAAAGTTTATCCAATGCATTAGTTACTATGGCTATTTGGCTACATGCTTTCTTTTTTTTTTTGACACATTTTAAGCTTAGTAGTTAGTTAAAAAATATATTTTAGCAGCCTCTTGCATGTTGACCCAAGGTACAAACTGGTAATGTACCTTGGACCAGCATATATTGTACCTTGGGTCAGTTATAAAAAAAATAAGATATTAGAACAAATCTTGAAATTTTTTATTGAAAATCTCAAAATAATCAGAAAAATTATGATTAATTTGTTCAGTACTTTGGCAATACTGAACACTGTTCAGTATTTCAGCAACAAAATAAACAATATTTCTTCCCTGCCACTTTCACTAAAACAAAGTCCCCGTTTTTAATCTCGCCATTTTTAGATAAGTCATATATTTTTTGTTCATTTAATAATTCTTTTTCTCTAGTTATCAAGTCATCAAATGTACCTTCATCACTTGAACTTGATTCACTATCATGCTTAGCAACTATCTTTGGTACATTTTGTGTATCTTTTGTCGCTATTTGCTTTGTAACTGCCTGTACTTTCTCAAATGATACCTTCTCTTGAGTCTTTCCCTTTTTGAGCTCAGCTATTTCATCATTCTCTGGAGTATCGGTAAGTATTCGTGACTTTCCTCTTGCTTTTCCTAACTTCTTTTTGCGAACAGGTGCCTTTGGATAGGGTCGCAATATTTCAGGTGTAATAGAACTTCCTGAAGTTCCTGCTTAATGAATATTTGAGGTAGAAGGAGTAAAGACTTCCATTTCATTACCTGTAGTTTTAGTTTGTTCCCCGTCCTGTTCAACATAGACTTGCTCGCGACTGTCAGTAAGCTGGTTTAAAGGATGATCAGTTACATACGAAGACAGAAACTCACTATCTTCAAAAATATTTTCATTGACGGGATAGAGACCGCTCACCTTAAATCCCTTCTGGATATTAGATGCAGTAAATGCTTTTGGAAGTACCTGCAAGTTCGGCTATATCGTAAATCGTAATAGGTTGTCCAGGGTGCATAATTATCCACTCGCTACAGGCGGTATTATAGTAGTTTTCATCGGTCCAAAACTGTTCGATCGAGCGGTTGCATTTTGTGGCTGGTGTGGGGATGAAACCTTATCGGTAGAATGCCATTCTTCTTACAGAAATTAATGACACTTACATTCACGTGGCTATCGTGATTATCCAAAAGTAATATAATTGGATATTCAACAGTTGATTTCACATGATTTTTAAAGAGTTATAGGTATTTCAAAAACAATATTTCGCTTGACCAGCCGGACAAATTTGCACCTCCTATAGTTCCAACCGGACAACCTTTTAGCATATGAGGTTTAAAATAACCCTCGGAAATATCATCATTGGCGGAATATGATTTCCGATTGCATTTATTAAGGCTATCAAGGTTACATTTTGACCTCACTCTCCACTTGTCATTTGACCTAACTGTTTTATCCCCTTAGGTAATACAATTTTTGGTGGTACATGGACAGTCGTTAACCCTGTCTCGTCACAATTCCAAATTTTTTCTGATTAAAATCTCCACGAGACAATGCTTCTTTGTAGTTCTTAAAAAAGGAAGATATATTTGTTTTATTGAAGGATGCTGATCTGGACAAACTTGTAGCTTCGGTTTTACGAAGTGATAAATCTTCATGTGTTCTAAGAAACTGCCTCAGCCATTCCTTGCCAGCTATCTTTTTTTGGTCCCAAGAAGGCGGATAAGACTTGTTATTTGCAATTGCATACTGGTATGAGTACGAACTCCCATTTTCGTCAAACCATAGTGGAGGCGTGCAGCAGTGAGAAGATATATTTTTAACTCAGTTTCCCTTCTCTCAGCAATATAAGAAAGTTCTGAAGCCCCCGACTGCCGAAAGGATTTTACGTGACTGATCAGCGTGGTTTTTGATATGTTATAGCACGTTGCTGCTTCCCTAATTAATAATGCTCCACTTATGCATTTATTTACGGCTGTAGTTAAATCTTGGGAATTTAAATGTGATCTTTTGATATCTATCCACTTTACTTCGTGGCATTTTAATATGACTATCTGAAACAATAAAAAGTCTTTTTGATAACAGACACGATTAATTCAATTAATAAAGTATATTAAGTATATTATATCAGTATTATATTAAATAAGATTTATTTTAGGCAAAGAAAATAATCGTATTGAACTTGATGTTAATTATGCTGTATCGTTCACCACGACTTACGCTTTGGTATGGGCTTATCTTGTTAAAATTAAGTCAGTATCCGCTATGTATACATATATGTCCGACTTTGAAACATTCGGAAAGCCCATAGATTTTGATAGAGACAACGCGGATTTTAATAAATATGCCAAAATGCATTTTGTTTACTTGGAGTCTTTAATATGGATAATTATTTTTACTTCAAATCTATTTAAGAAGGAAACCTGCCAGCTAGAAAACCAAGCTCGTAATATGACAGAAGTGTGTGGGTTATTTACATATACATGGACACCTTTTAATATTGATTTCTTTCCTGCTAGGGAAATATATATGCTTGTTCAGGTTTTTGGAGTAAGTATAGGTTTAAATTCTTATTCATGTGATTAATTTAATAATTTAACCATCGTTATCATACCATGTTAAAATGAGCTGTTCATATAAACTTATTTTCAGATTTGAATAAAATGTGATTGAGTAATAAATTTATAAATTAGTATTAAGTTGTAATATATTACCATTGGGATATACCGTCCCCTGAATACTACAACTAGTTAACTCGAAATTTTGCGATTTTGAGTTATCTACCGTCACCGATATAATTTTTCAGGCTCTTTTTAATACTGCAAATAGGTAAGTTCTATGCCCATTCTATACATGAGAATCCAATTACACAGTAATAGCTGTCATAAGTCCGAAAAAAAAATTGGTGCTAAAAGTGATCATATTGAAATATCTAAAAAGCTGACAACAAAAAAAATTTTTGCTGCATCAAATGTTTAATTTGACATACCTAACTGTGGGCCCGGGTAACTTGTGTTATGCGTTGCCTCTTCCGGATATTCTTTAAGATACCTATTTGTGCATTTGTTCATAGGATACGTTGTGAGTGTCATTGTTACTTTATTTTTCGTGATATTTTGTGAAACAAAAGTAAAAAACTAGTTTATTATATTTACCTAAAAATTCTAATAGAATCCAGGTTTGTAAAATCATGTTTATCAATACCCTGGGAATTCGAAAAGGAATTGTACATATAGCTATGAAAAAGAGAACTGAAGAAAACACTACTTTGGTAGACAATAGGGGAAAACATACAAAAAAGATAACGTCACCTGCTATCCTGGAAAGTATAAAAAAAACATATTGAGAAGTTCCATAGTCAGTTCACATTATTGCCATTCAAAACAAAATGGAAATATTTATCCTCAGACCTTAACATCACTCTTATGTATTGGTTATACAAGACAGAATGCAGTGAGAACAATCAAACAGCTAACTCTGCTATTTATAGAAAGTTATTTTCAGAGGAATATAACCTTGGCTTCTACCAACCTCGTAAACACCAGTGCCGAATTTGTATGGCCTAAAATTCTCCTTAATCGATAAAACATCTCACACACATAGCAGCCAAGAACAGAGCCCGTGATGAAAAGAGAATAAGTAGACAGTTGGCAGAAAATTCTAACGATAGACTCATAAGTTGCAATTTTGATCTTCAACAAGTGATTTTGGTATCAAACGACCCAACGAATAACGTTTTATTTTACAAGAAAAGATTAAAAGTATTTAACTTCACCATTTGTAACACAGTCTCTAAACAGGGTAATTGCTTCATGTGGACAAAGGTTAAAGGAAAGCGAGGCAGCTCTGAGATTGCCACTTGCTTATACCAATACTTTGAATCTTTTCCGGAACGAGTAACTCAGGTTCATTGTTTTAGTGATAGATGTGATGGACAAAATTTAAATAAAAACATCGCTAGTTCAAAATACTCCACATTTGGAAAGCATTGAACTAACCTTCTTAATTTCCGACCATAGTGAAATGGAGTGTGACTACATGCAGTCAGCCATTTCAACAGAGTTAAAAAGAGTGGGCAAAATATATTTACCATAAGATTGGAAAACAAATTGCTAGATGTGCCCAGAGAAAAGGAGATAAACAGTACATCATTTATTATATCACTCACAAACAAAAATTGTAAGAAATTAAGAAAGTGGACAGTAAGTAGCATGGCAGAAAATATGTTGCATGTTCTTTTCTAAATGCGAACCATCAATCATAAAATTAAAAAAAAAACTTTAACGAAGAATTTAAAACTTTAAATTGCGGGAGAAGGACAAAACGGACTCAAAATGTTACTACAATAATGCCAAATCCTTTTGTATAAGAGGAGAATTTATATTACTCTGGAAAAACACAAGGATCTTTTGACATTGTTTAACACCAAACCTCTTGAAATTTCTCTGGAAAATAAGGATTATTTGAAAACCAGCCTTTTACAGCAACAGGAAGAGAAGTATTAACTGAAAAAGTTTTACTTATTGCTAAGTCGACAACTAGGTATATTTAATTTTATTTGGAATAAATAGATATCTTGTTTTTCAATAACAAAAAAACTGAAATAAGGCTTTAGAAGACTTACAATTAATCAGAAGCTAGATTTATTTGAACTTCTTGCTATAAATTCTTCTTCTTCTTCCGGTTCCTATCCGTTTCGGATGTTGGAAATCATATTGGCAATCATAACCTTGCTCGCTGCGGCTCGAAACAGCTCCGTTGAGGTTTTCTTAAACCATGTTCTTAAATTCCGCAGCCATGATATTCTCCTTCTACCGGGTCCTCGCTTACCTTTCACTTTACCTTGCAATATAGACTGTAGCAGGGAATAACGGTGCTGATTTCTCATAACGTGTCCCAGATATTGCAATTTTATGCGTTATTGTAAACACAATCTCTAGTTCCTTCTTAATTTTTCCTAGTCTTGCTATAAATAGTCAGAAAAAAATTAATTTGCGGTAATAGAGCGCGGTTTGTTTCTTTTCAAATTTAAAACTGCTCTTCTGAAATATAGCAAATTTTGAGTTACCTAATCGTAGTATTACGGAAACGATATGTAGAATCTACATTGTAGATGATGACTGAAATATTGATGAAAATTCTTCTTCTTCTTCTTATGTTAGACCTATTTTTGTCCAATTAACCGTGAAGTTATAGTTGACGTTTATTGCCAGCTATCTCGATATGTTCTTCGTCTTCTTCTGTCTCTTTCTAAGTAATTCTGCTTGTTCATTGGTGAATTGTTACCTCTATGCAAGGTTGTCACTCCATCTTTTGTGCGGTCTTCCGATACTTCTACCGATTGGTGATTTATCTGTTGCTATATTAACAGTGGCGTAAGGCGTAACTAGTGTTTGGCTGCGCCCCAATGCAAGTGTTCTTTTTGCGCCCCTATTCCTAGACTTATCCCCCCCCCCCCAACTTGCAACTAGCTACTACGAAGAAACTGACAACGACATTTCTCCATACTTCCTAGATACTATTTCATATACACGACATTGTACAAGCTATATCCAATTAGAGAAAGATTATTCAAAGAAATATAATTTATAATGTACAGTAATTTTAAAGTTAATTTGTTAAAAAAATATATTATTCAAAAAATTAATTGAAAGCAAAATTGTTACTAAACATTTACAAATACCATTAATATAACTGAAGTAAGGATCACATTATTTACTAACAATTAATTAATGTACTTTTTAGGACGATAAAATATAGACTACTTACTTTACTTAACATTTTTTATTTATTCAGTGCCCTATACAGTATACATGATATCGCAAGCTACAATTTAACGTTTATGTTTCGTTTCTCAAAATTTGATTAATTTTACTAGATAATGCATTCTTACAGTCAAACAGCTGCCTAAGGCTCATAGGAACAACACTGTATGTTAATTCCTAGTCACTGACAAAGCCCCTACGGCTCTTTGTTTCTAGGAACAGTCTTGCTAACTTTTCTACATCAAAATACCGAGCTCTTTCATGTTCAATTAAACTAAGATCACACAACACACAGTCTAGTATTAGACATATAATTCCTTAAGTAGTTCTTTATTATTTTTAGTTTGTTTCGAAATAGAATATCGAATAGAATAATAATCTTTTGAAAAAGATCTATTTGTTTTAATGTCTCAAGGAATGGCCCTTGAGGTCTACACGGTTCGGAGTTCAAAATACGAAATTTCAATTCATCTTTATTTATATCTTCTGAGAAAAGAGTTATTAGTTAAATCTTTCATTTCTAATGCTGTTGATAATTGCTCTTTTATGTTATTTACCTCAATGACATTATTAGATATTATCATCAAATCATCTACCCAAATTAGCAAGTAAGTATTACATTTTATATATAAACATGGATCAACAGATCTTCTGAAATTCTTATCAAGTAAAAATAAATGTAACCGATCATACCAACACTTAGTGCTTTGTTTTAATCCATATAAAGCTTTCCTGAGTTGACACACATAACCTTGCTTAACTTGTGAAAGTCCGGGAAATAGTTGCATATAAACAGGATCCTTCAATTCCTCATTTAGAAAAGCAGACTTCATATCCATTTAATGAATTTCTAAATCTGTTTCAAGAGCTAATACCAATAGTGCTCTTAATGTTATCATTCTGGCCACTGGAGTGTAAATATCTTCATCTGAATCAAGTTCTTGTTTATAACCTTTTGCAACTAGTGGAGACTTTTTGAAAATATTTCCATTTATTTCTTTCTGTGTAAATACCCACCTGGAGTCTATTATATTCACCTTATTTGGAGGAAACACCAACTCCGAAGTTTTATTTTTCTCTAAAACTAATAACTCATCATTAACAGCTTTCAACCACTTTTTATCTGAGAGTGCTGTCATGAAGTCATTCATATTCATATCATAGTTATTATATCTAATTGGCATCTTTCGTTCTCTATTAGATTTTCTTATAGTCTCATCCCTTTTTTCTTCATTTTCATTTTTTACATCATCTTTCTCTACATCTGTTTCCTTTTCTTCAGTAAAAAAACACAAAAATTGAAGACAAGGGTTCGAGAGATGATAAATATTTTACATCTAACTTTTACGAACAAGTACAAAAAGATATGAAGAAACGAAAAAGACTTTAGAGGAATTTATTAAAAATTCATACAAGTCTTAGACAAAAATTGGAGAAGTAGAAATTAGGATGAAAAAACTTCATCATTTATTGGAAGATGACGAAAACGATGAAGAGATACAATAAGATGCTTTAATAATGGAAATATCTGTGGACAATAAACAGGATGCACTAGAAGAAGGTGAAATACAAAGATTTTATACAATGAAAAGAAGGGTGAAGTCGATCATAAAAGAAAATAAGAGATTAGAGGCGGAAGGATGCAAGAAAGAAAAAATAATATTACCCCAAGTGAAGTTACCCTATTTTGAGGGAAGGTATGAATCTTGGATAACATTCTATGATATTTTTAAACGTTTGATACATAAGAATAACCAACTATCAACTGTGGAAAAAATGCAGTGT